CTTTGAGACGCTACAAAATTGATTAAATGAAGATTATAGTTAAACAAAAAATAAATCTATATTTTAACAATACAAAAAAAAAAAAGAAAAAAATAATAATAAAAAAATTTATATTTGCGGTGGGGTGGATGGCATTAGGCGTTTCTATTGTGCGCCAAGACAATCAATTGCAGAGGCACAAAGAGAGTCTCATTAAGCTGCTGTTTAATATTGATAATGATAATGATTAGCAGCAAACTTCTGCAATTACGAATGAAAGACTTTTCGACGGCGATTGCTTTCTGATTCAGCTAATTGCAGAAAGTACTCCATTATGCTGGCCCTTTCGCCTGGTTATGCAAAAGAGTTGCTTGTTTTATGGTCGCATCTTCTATCACGTTTGAGGGCCAATTAAATGTCGTCGTGTAAAATAAAAGTTAACTTTTATAGAATTAATAATCATTGCATCACGAATGCTACGTGTGGCGATTAGCCAGTTTTATATATATATATACACAAACATATACGTATACATATATACATATATATATATATAACTCTTTAACTAGGAAGCAAACAGAGTTCCAATTGAAAATGTGTGAAACGCACGCAAGTTTTATTTTTATTTATTTTTTTTTTTTTGTGGGTTATTTTTGTGGCTGACGGATTAGTGGAGTTAGAAAGCAAGACCAAAATATAACCATACATAAGATTGTTGCCTCTTTCTAGTGTAAATGGGCATATTCGCTTGAAACAATGCGCATCAAAAGTGCTAAAAATTCAAACGGAAAGCTCTACTCGAAGTTCTCTTAACTTCTATTTACATATTCCTTTTGTGAATATTTCTAAGTCTACTTAAAATCGTATCTTGAAGTGCAATGCAGCAGCAGCGACATTTCTTGAAAATTTCTCTTTTGACAATTGCAGAGGGTCTGAGCCATGGGTTGCCTAATGACATGACTTTCATTCAGATGCTACAGCGAAGCGACAAGAAACGAAGCGAAGCTCAAGCGCAGGTTGCATAATCGCATTCAAAACGAAAATAGAAAACAGCCGAAACTCCAAATGTCGGACGGACAGGCAGACAAACATAAAAAAGAAACAACATATTGATGTATAGATGGGCATCGATAGCTGGCGGAAAGGTGGTAGTATGAATGCATGGATGTATGGATGTATGCTTGTGCTGGTGCTTGTGAGCAATATAATTTGTAGCGGTTTATCAAGCAACGGTATTATTGAGCAATGGCCACTCGAAGCGACTCCAACACTCGCCAACATTTAAACTATTTTCTTGTTATGCACTTCAAAAGCAAAACGCGTGATACAAAGCGCACACACACACACACACACTCACAGTTTTTGGCAACACAATTTTGACTTGGCCAACAGAAAACCCGATGAGTCATTCTTAATAATTGCGCGTACAAAAAAGTGCCAGCAATAATATTTATAAAACTAAATATCAATGCATAGAAATCGAAACGAACATCAACATTAAAAACAAACTCGAAAACAGCACAAAATCGAGATCGAACTCGAAATCGATGTCGAATTTGCGAGCCCAAACCAGAAATCGAAATGAGACGAAAGCATATTGCGCATACGCCATGGATTCCAGAGAGATCCATACGTGTCGCCCAGGAGCTGTTGCAATCGACGAATAGACCCAACAACAACAACAGCCACAACAGCAACTAGTTGGGACATTGAACTCGAAAAGCGAACCTGCACACACGACGTCAGCAGCAGCAGCAGCCGCAGCAAAAATTTGTAAACAAAACTTGATTATGTAAGAGCTTAATTATAATGGAAATGGAAATGCCAAAGCGACAAAGCCAGGCCACATTAACAGGCCGAGTGACTCTAGAGCTTCAAATTGGATTTGTTGTCAACAACAAACAACAAACAACAGAGAGCAGCAACAAAAACAACGACAACAATTTTGAAGGCTGCACATTGCGAGACTTCATATCGAACAGCAGGAAATTTTCCAAAACATTCGTCACACTATGCTAATGCTGAGGCTGCGGAAAATGGGTCAGGACTAAAGCACCTGAGCCATTCAAACAAGTTTGCTGCGCGCAGTGGAAAGGCAACATACAGAAAAGAAAGGAAGCATAAATTGTAAAACAACTAGCAAGGGTCTTAGAGCTCTCGCAGCAGCAACAGCAGCAGCAGCACAATCAAGCAGCAGCAGCAAAAAGAAACAGATATATGAGTATGAGTGAGAGAGCGAGCGAGAGAGTGAGAGAGGGAGACAGAGACAGAGACAACAAATCCAAGCAACAACTTTCACCTATTAATATTCGACTCGCAGCAGCGGCAGAAGCCAGCGAGCTGCCAAAGCTTGCAGCGAGTCGAGCAGAAGCAGAAGAAACCAATTTGAAGCGCGGCGCAGTTGTGGTCGATGCTCAACAGGGGCAACAACGTACGACGGCTGCTTGGGTGACTGCAGCTCAGACGATGCTAAAGAGACACACACACACACCAACACACTCGCACACTCATGCATGGTATCTGACAAAGAGCGTGATCTCTTCAGAAACTTTCTACAAAATGCTGTGCGGGAATTTCTTCATTTTCTTTTGCTTTTGCTAGCTGAGTAAACCAGCTATACTCTACGACTCTGCACTCTGGCTCGATCGAGTATCCTTTGATCTAGATTAAATGTTGGTCAACTTACAGCAATAACGGGTCGAGTACTGACAGTTAGCATTGACTGTCGGCGCCATTATCTCGTTGGCAGCCATATCCAAATTTGTGTAATTGTTGAAGATCTCCTCGTATATCCTTTCTGCGGATGTCCTTCGTCTCGTTGTTGTAGTTGTTATTGTTCCTGTTGTTGTTGTTGTTGTTGTTAATGGTAATCCAATGTTGTAAATTGTTGTACACACACACTCACACGCACATATGCTTTTGGCTTGATAGTTTCTCTTTGATTGGTGCTGCTTATTTGGTAGTTTGCCTGGTTTCCATTGTAAGATATTTGGAATTCAAGAGGCACTCACGCACGCCGAGCGCCCAAAAAAAACGCCAAAGCCCAAGCAGCGGCGCACCGATAAAAAACACTTTCACTTTTCGCTTGATATGCAGAGAACACAAAACAGTTTAATGCGATGGTAAATTTGGTTTAGCTGTTGTTGTTGCTATAGTTGTTGTTATAGTTGTTGCTGTTGTTGGTTTTTCTTATTGGTGAAAATTAAATTTCAAGTGCACCAAAGTCAGGAGTAGTCAACATTTTGTCGCGGCTATGTTTCCTTGGCTTTGCTCATGGGAATTATTAAAAATATTTTCAAATTCTTATAGAGTTTCAAATTTTATGCACTACAAACACTTTTTTTCTGGAGCCGAATTGTAAAAGTTTTTCAATTTATTTATTTTTTTATTTTGGCTTTTCCAAAAGTTTTTCTTTTTTTTTTTTTAGAGTTCTGCACGCAGCCGCCTGTTGCTCTGGCTGATGTTGTTGTTGCTGTGGCAGTGGCTGTTGCTGTTGTTGTTGCTGTGGCTTTAGTTTTGTAACTACTTTTGGTGGCGATTCTTGCGCGCCGACCGTTTGAACGTAACGTCTGCCTCGAACCACTGTAGACGTCTGTGCGGCAGCGCGCAGTGAAACCAGCGCTTATCCTCAAAGATCGCTAAGAAATTTCATGCCATTCCATTTTGTTTCACTGCTTGCGACGCTTTCGCTTAACACACACACACACAGACTCACACGAGCACACACGTACACACACACACGCATTCAAGTTGTAGCTGTGGCTTGACTTTGGTTCTGTGTGCTGTTAACATTACCATTTCTTTCTCTGCACACTCACTCACTCACTTGCTCACTCACACACACTTAGACGCAGACAAGTTGCTGCTGAGCGTGCGCTCAGTTCAAGTTTGGTTCTTCGTTGAAGTCTTTTGTTTTGGTTCGCAGTTTGGCTTTGCCATGTGCGCGAGCTTTCAGTAAGAGTTTCGCCTTGGGAGCATGCACACACACACACACATACAGCCAGAGACACACACACATGGAGAGCGACTATCCGGCAGCGCTTAATTATTTACAGTTTATGGCTGTTCCATTGCCATCGCGTTCCGAATGGACTTTTATAACTTTAACTTTCTTCGCTATCGCAGCGAATGCCGTTTGCTGCCAACTGCCTTCTAAGCGCGCTGCGGCTTTTTTTCTGTTTTCTTTCTTTCATTTTCTTTTCTTTTTTTCCATTTCAGCGTTTCGTTTCGTTCGCTTCTGCGCATTTGCCGTTGCTTAGCTGCAAATTACAACTTTCGTCTATTTTCGTCAAGATTTTTGTTGTATTCCGTTTTTTTTTTTTTTTTGTATTTTTTAATTATATAATTTAAACTTTTTTCTTTTGTGCATTTTTGTTGTTGGTTTTTTTGTTGGCTTTGTTTCGCTGTAACTTCTGCGTAAGTAATTTGCTTTGCCATTGTTGCTTCAGTTTTACTTTTATTTGCATAAAGCCAAGCTCACGGCTAATTATGCGCGAGAAGAGAAGAGTGAAATTTCCAATGGATTCTTAATTATCATTTAATTGCCTGCTTACTGAAAGCATCAGCTAGCCAGAGCCCAAAAAAAAAAAAAAGCAAAAAACACCCAAGCAGAGCACCAAGAAAATGAAATGTATCTCAATCTATACGTATGTGTGTGTGTGTGTGTATGTACTGATTGCATTTGGTAAAATCTTTTCAGCTGCAGTTTGCTGGTCTGGTCTGGCCTGCTCAGCGAGCGTTTCAAGATCGGGGCTCGACCATTTGCAGTTACAGTCAGAGTCTTAGTCTCCGACTACGACTACGACTACGACTACGGCTTCGAGTCAGTTAAAAGTATCTTGATGTTTAGGCTCTTTTCTTTCGCGGCTGTTGTTGGCTCTGCACTTACAGTTGCTTCTTTTGTCGTTTGTGCGGCTGGTGTTACTATCTGTGTTGTTGTTGTTGTTGTAGAAAACTTTCTAATGCAGAAGCCGTCTGCTGTTTCATAGCTCACATTTCTCCACCCCTTCATTACTCTTGCTTGTGCATCTCTCTGGTTCTCTCTCTGTCTCCATCTCTCTCTTGCTTCAATTGAATTTTCCCCGTACTTGATAGGCCTCTTTTAATACCCTGTACGCATTTCAATTAAAGTTGTTCAGTATCGTGTTATTGTTATTATTATTGTTATTATTATTATTTTCAGACTAATAAGTTGTTGAGTTCAAACTGCTATAATTCCCTCTAACAGATACTTTTTCATCTTGTATATATTATGAATATTAAGAATGTTAAAGACAGTGCCATATATGTAGATAGGAAATACCAATTAGGTTTTTATTTGATAGATGCAATTGTTTCTCTCACATACTTTGGTAATTTTAAGGAGACTTTCGCACTTACGTGTACGATGTGAGAGTTACTTTTCATATACTTAACAAGAAACAAAAAAGGTATTCATAATACTTTAAGGCAATAAAAACTATCGAGTGAAAGAGCTACGATCAGAGCTACAGGGTATTATCTAGTCATGTAGTGCCAAGTAAAGCAGTCTTACTTTAGTTTTGTTGGTCTTTCGTTAGCTTTTTCTTTCTTTTGAGATTTTTCCCAAGCTCGTGAAATCGCTGGAGAATTTCAATCGAGTAAAACTTTTGTTCAAACTCCAAGACATTTTCAATTCTATGCACATGGCACAGCGTCCATGTGCCCGCATCTGTGGGTGTGCGCGTATGTATGTGTTATACACGTGCAGGTGAGCTCACATAAGTACTTGATAATCCGCTGTGATGCATCAACACATTATGATGCCCGTGGTCAGCGGCATCCGTTGGACCGATTAATGGTAATACCGATGCCGTTATTCCGCGCTTACTGCCATCTGGGTGAAAGTTATGGTTTAAATACGCTCACAGATCAGTCACCGTAGAGCCGAGCCATTTGTAATCCTAGGTCTTCAATATTAATCGATTCATACTTAACCTGATTACTTGTTACTTGCCAGCACCAAGTATTTCGTATTTATGATAATTAGCACAAAGCACCATGCGAAATGGAAACGATCTCAGTTGGCAATAAATGCTTAATTAGCAGGCAAGCCATACATTATATAAACCCCAGCCAGAACTAATGAATCACAAAATCACAAGACATCGCATTAAGCTCGAGACCCAAAATCGTAAGTATAAGAAAAAAAAAAAAAACGCTATTTTCACTTTTTAATAATTAACATAAAATTATTAACCAGCAGCGCAAAAAGAAGAGAAAAGAGAAATGGGTAAGAACCAAAAGAGACACGAACAAAAACCGAAACCAAAATCAAAATCAAAACAATGCCAAGCGCATTAAAGCAGCACCAAATGCCAGAATCCGACAAATGTAAGAAATAAGCCACGAAAGTTGTAAATTGAATCAAACGAGATTTCAGATTTCCGATTCCAGACCTCAGATTTCATAAAGTCTCGTAAAGAACTGCCCACCGGCGAGTGACTAAAAGTCTTAAAATAAGAAAACATTAAGCTTGAAGAATTTTAAGTGAAATGAATTTGAAAGCTTTTCCCGTCGAGACCTGACCCAATTACCCATTTTGGCCCGATGCCCCAAATGGTGGTGGAAGCCACAAAATGCCGAAAAGAACGAGAAGATGGTGAATGTGACGAAGCAACAGTTATGTGACGAACCGACCCAGTCAGACAATCGAAAGTTTATGTCATGCAACAGCGACATCCGCAGCAGCAGCAGCAGCAGCAGCAGCTGGTAAGCAACGCACAGTGGGGCAAAATGACGGTAGATATACATATGAAGAGATTGAAGCTTATAGGTGATTCAAGAGGAGCAAAGAGCTGCTCCTCCTTGGCCTTTAGAGTCTTGCAGCGACAGCTTTAGGATAAACCACAGATTTGAGACGCTTGGAGAGTGCTGGCAAGAAGTAAATCGTCTCGAGTCTTGCAATGGTACACGCCCAGTTAACAAGACGGAGAATTCTTTTTATGAGAAAGTAATTGAAGAAAACGTATAAATACTCATATCTATATATATCTTTATGCGAACAGTACAGAAGCGAGTGAAATTCTGTTACACATACAGACGTAGTTACGCATACATAAAACTACGAAAAATAAAATACAACGAATTTTTTGGAAAGTCATGGCATGAAATGATTCTCGTGTATCTTTCATAGGCCTACCAAACAGCGTGAACAATTGAGAGCAGCCAAAACGCAAGAAAAGAAAAAGTAACTTCACACCAACACACACTTGCACACACACACACACACACATGCACATATAAATGGACAGCTTGCTTAACGTCTGGTGGCCAGTAAATCGAAAAGATACACGAAACGAACACTACACAAAAAAAGAAAAAAAATAAAAATAAAATAATAAAATCGAAACATAAAACATTCTGATTGTAAGAGCGTGGAAGTAGGTCAGCGTCGCTGCTGGCGTCGCCGTCGTCGTTGTTGTTGTTGCCTGCCTTCACCTTCGCCGTCGTCGTCATCGCCAACGCGCTCTCGAACTTGGCTTTGGACTCGACGGCCGCTCGGCTCAGACACCAAAAATGAAGGAAAAAAATAAGCAAACCAAGCAGCACAAAATAAGAAGAATCAAAACTACAACACACACACACATACACACACATGCACGCACGCAAAGACACGCTGATGGAATACTTAAAGCATCCGCGTCCACTTGCACTTTCTTTTTCAAGCGCTGCCGCTGTCGCGGCTGGCGTCGCAGTTGCTGTCACAAAACTTGATTTGGCTTTTGCTTTGGCTCATTCTACTTCTGCTTGGCTCCCAGTGCGAGTCCCACAGCGCAAGTTCGTGGCTTAAGTCTTTCGTTTGGGTCTGGCGCACGTTCGCTTCGCTTAGCTTTCGCTTTGCGCTTTGTGCTCTGCGCTCTGTGACTGCTCCATTGTCTTGGGCTGCCCTGCTGCTGCTGTTGCTGCTGTTGCTGCTGTCGCTGCCCAAAATATTCTCTTGCGGTTTTTCAGCTCGTATATTATGACCGATTTGCTTGTAGGCCTCAATTTCACCAACTTGTATAACCATTTCAAATTGTGTAAGGAATCATTATTGTTTTGCTGACAGTTACATATTAACACTACACTAAATATTTATACTTTTCACTTAGTCATGCGTTAAGTAAATATAAAATACAAACTTTTAGTTAAGACACTGAAGGGCTCACTAATTTAGCAGCTTCAAAATTCTTGTAATTCCAATTGATATATTTAGCATCCTTCTAGTAGTTCTAAAGTCCACGACTTTTAATATGTTGTATTTGCTAGCATCACAAAACGAACAAAAAGATTTTTATAGTTCCGCTTGAATCGAACGTAGTCACATTTCTTTCTAAGTTCTATCTTTTTTTATACCCTGAACCCATTGAAAATGGGAAATCAGGGTATAATGGTTTTGTGAAAAGTATGTAACAGGCAGAAGGAATCATCGCAGACCCCATAAAGTATATATATTCTTGATCAGCACGACGAGCTGAGTCGATATAGCCCTGTCCGTCTGTCCGTCCGTCCGTCCGTCCGTCCGTCCGTCCGTCCGTCCGTCCGTCCGTCCGTATGAGCAAAAGAATCTCAGAAGATATAAGAGCTAGAGAGCTGAAATTTGGCATGCATACTCGTGTATACCATAGGCAGTACAAGTTTGCTTTATTTTTTCGATAACTCGTCCGATAACTTTTTTATCGAGAATAATCGAAAAATCGACTTGGTTTTTTCAGCATAATTTTAACACTTTTAGACCTGGAGACTTCATATTTGGGTTGTATATAAAGTTAGTGGATACAAAGATTTTGTAATTTGCAGATTTTGGATACCACGCCCCCTTCTCCCCCAATTTGTAAAAGTACTAGTACTAGTACTTTTCAAGTACTAGAGACTTGTGCTTTGGAATGTACACATATTTTAACCATATGATTACGCTCTGAAAGTTTCATTAAGATCGTATGTCTACAAAAGAAATTATTCAACAAATAAATTCTCATATTATTGCCCACATTGCAGCGCAGCCCAAGCGCAGTCGCTGCTAACTGCGCAGTCAGCAGAGCACGTGCTTATAAGTGCATGTGTATGTATGTGTGCATAAAAGAAGTCCAGACTGATTAGAATATCAGCTTGGAGGGTTCAGGGTATCTCCTAGTCGAGCAGTCTCGACTGGAGCCTTCTTACTTGTTTTTTTTTGTTATTTGATTATTTAAATTATTTACCATATTAACAAACGTGTCACACGCAATACACACAGACATACACTCAATTGCACACCAGACACACTCCACACACACACACCCACACACACACATATAGAGGCATGCTAGCAAAATGCTTGCACGTTTCGATACTTGTCGAGCATGACATGTGTATGTGTGTGTGTGTGTGTGCTGGGGCGTGGCTGCAGTGGGTATTGTGGGCGTGGCTATGCGGTATGCGTTGTTTTTCTTGCGATTTCAAGTTATTGCGAGCTGCTCATACATAGAAAATGGAATTCATAAATTGTTGTGCAGCGCCACAAGCAGCAGCTGAAGTATAAATCGTATAAATCGAATTTCGAATGCTCTCATTTTGATGAGAAAATTTGTTTAAAATAAATATGAAGCCAAACAGTATATTGAAATTAAATAAAATATTAAAATTAAACTATACATGTGATATGAAATATTCATATTAGATATTGGAATATAAAATCGAATTTTGTGTACTCTCACTTTGATGAGAGTGTTCGTAGAATTAAATGTGCAGCCAAATAGTACATTGGAATTAAATTAGATGTTGAAATTAAATTATATAT